CAAGTTTCGTAGGACACGTTTGAAATGTACGAATTCAAGTTGAAAAACGAGTGGCGAAGCCACGAGTTTTTTAATGAATGAGTGCTTTAAGTCTTATGACCAGTGTTTTTTATGCTATTTTTTGTAATTCGCGTTTTTATCCTTTTTTTTTAACAAAAATAAATTTTGACAATGCAGGCAAATAGGTATGTAGCAGTTGGTAACACCGTAACACTTGAAAATAGAAATTTGAATTGACAATTAGAAACTGTGAACACACAAAATGTATTCACCTGAAAAAAATGTTTCATGTACACCTCCCAAAATAAGAGAAATTGCTGGGTGTTCAATGCCCTCATCATTGTGGACCTTGTATTCGATGCTAAGAACGTGTTTCATAGACAAAAATTGTCACATTGACAACTAGAAAAATTAATGACCCAATGTCGCCAACTTGAACTGGTTCCATAAAATGTTACTAAAATCTCATTACAGCATCGGATGCTATAAGAAGTCTCATTACAGCACCCGTTTGCGTACTGTTAGAGCTTTCATTACCGTCGCGAATTACAAAAATAATATTTACCAAACATCTTAAGATTATATGAACCGGATAACATCTATAATGCCGATGAAACAGGTTTGTTTTATCGTGCAACACCTGATGGTTCTCTTGTGTACAAAGTACAAACATACAATATTAGCTGGTCATAAAAAAGCATTAGACCGAGTAACAGTGTTATGTTGTTCCAACATGTCCGGTACTGATAAAAGGAAACTATTATTATTTGGTAAAGCAGCAAAGCCGCGTTGTTTTAAAGGATTATGGATGGATTCGTTACCTGTGCAATGCGAATTCAACCGGAATGCATGGATGACCGCGGAGATTTTTAAGTGTTACCTAGAAACTTGGTATAAAGAATTGACGAAAACATCAAAACAGATAATTTTAATGGTCGATAATTGCGCAGCACACCCTCCAGTGAATGATCTACAAAACATAAGAATTTAGTTCTTACCACCTAATACGACGGCAATAACGCAGCCCTTGGATATGAGAGTTATTAAGAATCTTAAAATATTGTATCATAAAAAATTAACAACCTACATCGACAAGATAGAGGAAAACATATTATCGTTGTCCGCAACCGCAACAGAAGTAAGCGCAAAGATAAATATTTTCCAGGCTATTCACTTTATAGCTGACAGTTGGAATGAAATCAAGAGCGATACAATACGTAACTGCTTTGGGCATTGTGTAGATGACACTCGAGGTGATAAAATTGCTGACAGTGACGATCTTGGAAATTTACATAAAATTGCAAACTTTGAAGAGTTTATTAATATTGACGATACGCTGGAATGTGTCAATCAAGACGAAAGTAATTATGAAGACGAGATTATCAGAGAATTCGCTGATAAGTCAGTTGTAGAAGTTGTTGAAGAAACAGACGAGCAGACAGATGATATGGAACTCCATCCAGTCACTCATAAAGAGGCAAAATATTGTGTCAGTAAATTGCGGCGGTATTTCCTGCGAAGACTTTATCTACAAAAATGCTTCTAAATCTGTTGGTCAAACAACGCTAGACGAATATAGAAAATTAGATCAGTAACATTTTAGTAGACTGCAATAATGTTTCTTGTTTTATCAGTTTTGTGTTAAGAATCTTACCTTCGTATTAATTATTATCGGTCTAACTCGGTCTAACGCTTTTTTATGACCAGCTAATATTGTATGTTTGTACACAAGAGAACCATCAGGTGTTGCACAATAAAACAAACCTGTTTCATCGGCATTACAGATGTTATCCGGTTCATATAATCTTAAGATGTTTGGTAAATCTTCTTTCCATTTTTCTGCCGCCTCAATATTAGAACTGTTCTTTTCGCCGTGCGCCTTTTTAAATTTAATTCCATGTCTGACCTTCCATCGAGATAACCACCCATCAGTTGCGTTAAAATTTTCATGACCTGGTAGCCTTTTAGCAAAATTATCTGCTTTTTCCTTTAGTATTGTACCACTCACTCAACCGTTGCGAACCATCGGTTAAGCGCTTAGTCTATGTCAGGATTTTTACCTCCACGCTTTCGTTTTCGCGAAGAATTTTTATTTGTATTTTCCCATTCATCACCAATCTTATTTTTTTCCTTCACCAACCGTAAAAGAGTTGTTTTTGGCATTCCAGTTATCTGACTCAACTCTCGTTGGCTGATATTAGGCGGTTGATTTTTAATTTTATTTAATATTTCTATTTTTTGTGCTAATGTTAGGTCTCGGCGTACCATTTTTTCCACACACTTCTTTTTACTCTTCAAAAAGATTTTACTGATGTGCGAACGACTTAAAGTAATCGTACTGACTGCGCTTTCCAACTACTCGTGCACATTAACACGTATAAACTTGTCCGTTCACTAACAGAATGGTGAGGATAAGCAAAACCGTGCGGTCCGATTAAGCGGAATGTTGGACCGATTAAGTGGATCAATTTATAAGAGTACTTGATTTTGTTTTTGGCGATTTGGTCCATATAAACGGCTGGTCCGTTTATCCAGTGGTCCAATAAAGCGGCATCTACTGTACATATATGCCACTACATATTGAAATATGCATTCAATATTACACAGGTCAGTGTACGTTAGCTGTCTAGTTAGGTCTATTAGGTTTAGTGTTAGTTCAACATAGTAACAGTGCTAGTGTAAAACTAGAACTAACACCATATCTAGAACTAGAATCATTCGGGTTTAGCCGTCTTTAGAGACGTGCGGCTAAACCCAAATGATTCTAGTTCTAGGTATGGAGTTAGTTCTACATAGTAACAGTGCTAACTTCTGTGTAACACAGAAGTGTTAGTTCTAGTTTTACACTAGCACTGTCACTAGAAATAACATTAGACCTTGAATTAGCAACATTCAGGTTTAGCCTTACGTCTCTCAAGACGGCTAAACCGAATGTTTCTAGTTCTAGGTCTAGTGTTACTTCTTGTATTAGTCTAATTTGTTTGTTATTCAGCGTTAAATTGTTGTATCTTTTTATTGAGGTATAACGGACACTGCGTTAAGATTTTACCTCGGATTTTACTGTAATGTCAATTTATATTGACATGAACAGATATATTTTTGTATATTGCATCTTAAGTGAAATTCACTGTATAAATAAAAACATAGAAATGTCAATTCTTCCAATGACGTCACAGGAAGGCCTTTGCGGGAGGATACGTTCATAACAACAGCGTTCATAGGGAGTTGGATAACCTTACGTGACCTTTGTAATCTTCGTAAAACTGGAATGCACCTAAGCTGGGTAAGTCTGTTGAAGCAGGTACTTCACCTGAACCGAACAACTTAACATCATGCCGCAAATTCTGGACTTGAGGTACTTGATGAGGTAACTTGATTGAGAGTAGCAGAACTCTCTGTCGGTAACGGAGTACTACTAGGAGTAGGATGATTCAATACTAGTGGTGTATTTTAACCTACGGTTCTAATTTGGTCTGTGTGTCGCTTCCATATTCGTTCGTCATTTAGTTGTATCAAATACGTTAATTTTCGTAATTGCTGGTGAACTTTTCCAAATTACCATTTGTCTGTGTTCAAATAATCACGAACCGCAACTCTTTCTCCCTCCTCAAAATTTCTAAAAGTGATACTTAAGTCATTTGAAAACTTGTTCTTGCATTCTGGTAGCATTAAGTCTAATCGTGTGAAAATTTCTCTGTTGAACATTAAATAAGCTGAGCTTAATCCTGCAATTATGTGTGGTGTAATCCTGTAGTTTAATAAAAATTTTGATAAATTCTTGTTAATGTTAGACTGATTTGTTCCCAAAGTCTTTAATGCTTTTTTGATCGATTGTACATATCGTTCGGCCGTGCCGTTCGTGGCTGGATGATATGGTGGTACAATTCATTTTCTTTCAAGAAATTTTTGAATTGGCATGATGTAAATGTGGGACCATTGTCAACATGTTGTAAAACGATCTTCTTTATTTACATGTGTACCCAAGAATAAATCTTGCATTAATTTTGTAAAAATGGTATCATTTAAGCTTTCTTTTGGTATAGGATACTCAAAAGGATACTTCCTTTTGATGTTTTTACACTATTAACACCAGCAGTTGTAAATGGAACGCTGCTTCTTTGTAATTGAGCAGCATCTCTTGCCGAAGTTTCCATACTGATAGCTATTTCCAGTGTCCTTTCAATGGTGAGATCTTTAACTTCCAGTAATCGGCCCAGTTTTTTTAGGTAGTCGTCATATTTGCATGTGGTTGCCAAACGTTATAATGACACTAAATAATTCTAGACAATCTCTCAATCGTTCTGTTTACGTTGTAAAAACCGAAAGTTTTCCACTATTTCTAATAGCTCGGGATTGTAATGACGTTTCATTTCTTGTAATTATTAAAATATATCTAAATATATTTTAAACGGCTTTTAAAGTTAATGAATATTGTCGCCATCGTTTTTAGGAACTTTCGTTGCGTTGCAATACCAATCTGTGATATTGGTTGCATACTTTGTCGGGTACGATAATTAATTAACACACTGTACATTATAGCAAGTATTCTTGTGGATCACTTAAAGGAATCATCTCATTCAAGAATATTTTGTTAAAATTTAATACTATCTGATTCTAATTAAATGAGTTCTTTTAGTCAATTAACTCTTTAATTAGGAAACTACCAATTCAAACGGGCCAGTTAATGAAAAACAACGGTAATATAATTTTAAGAAAAAATATTCTCTCACGGTAAAATGAAATGCTAAAGTTTTTCATTAATTTATTTTAATGTTATTGAAAGAAAAAGCGAAATAATTATTTAAAGAAAAGCGAAACGAGCGACGTTGCCAGGTCGTTGAAATTAATCCATATTTAGAACGTACCCTAAATCACTATTTATTATTATTTATTTATTTCTTTTAATTCTTTTAATAATTCAATTCACCATAATAAAAATATAAATAAATAGATTTTTTTTAATTTAATTTATTTCGTTAATAAACCATCAAATTACTGAACGCAACCAAACTTAACCTAAAAACTTAGAACAAAAATCACTTAATCACCTTAAGAGTAAAAATGAGTGATTTAATCGTCGATTCTAACATAAGAGGATGGGTTTTTCTCCCAATCGTCGTTATAACATTCCTTGTGGGTATTTTGCGCCACTACATCTCGATACTTTTATCGTCTCAAAAAAAGGTTGAAATGCAACAACTTCAAGATAGCCAAATCTTACTTCGTTCGCGTATTTTACGCGAAAACGCCCGTTTCATCCCTCGATCGGCTTTCAATATGCGGCGGCAAGTCTTCAACAATCAAGATAGCGGTTATTTGACTCAAAAACGAGAAAGCCAAGCCCCTAATATGATGACGGATCCGAGTATGATGACCGATATGCTTAAAGGAAACATAACGAACGTTTTACCCATGATTATAATTGGAGGATGGATTAATTGGATGTTTTCGGGATTTATCACCACCAAAGTACCGTTTCCTTTAACGTTAAGATTTAAGCCTATGCTTCAAAGAGGTATTGAGTTGAATCATTTGGATGCTTCATGGGTTTCATCGGCGTCTTGGTACTTTTTGAATGTATTTGGGTTGAGGAGTATTTATGCTTTGGTGTTGGGTGAAAATAACGCTGCTGATCAGAGTAAGCAAATGCAAGATCAAATGTCTGGAGCTGCTATGGCGATGCCTCCCGATCCCAAGGTGGCTTTTAAAGCCGAATGGGAAGCTTTAGAGATTGTCGATCATCAATGGGCATTAACGGATGTTGAAAATAATTTAATACAGAAGTAATTATCATTGGATGTAAGTGTAATTTTAATTTTTTAAATTATATTTAAGTTAAAAAATTTATTAGTAAATGATTTAGATTGAGGTGTTGTGATTTAATGGGTTTAAAACATAATTTCCAATTCCTTTTTCCTTCAGTTTGTAATGATTAATGCTTAAAATTAATTAAAACAAATTTTAAGAAAAAAAAGTGAGGTTAAGTGATTACTACTTTGACAACTGATTATTATTATTATTATTGCTGCCATACTATAAGATCTATTGTAAGTTTATAAATCTTTATAAATAAAAAATATAAGATCTATTGTAATTTAACCCTCCAAAAGTTTAGGGCAAATGTAGGTCCTTAATGAACTTTAGTATTGCTCCAAGTAGGGTAGACTGGGTACTGTTGTGACAATTTTCATTTGATCGCGCATAATTTTGCTAGTATGTCAGTTAACTGACAGAAAGGAGTTTTTATAGTAAAGTGTACATTTATCAACAAGTAAATACTAAAATCTGGTCACTAAGTACAATGGTTAACTCATAGGAGCAAATTAGAAAAAAAAGAAAAAATGTCATAACCGACCACATCCCAGGGGCGGTTGTGACAATGCTTGGGGTCGATGATAAGTTCAGAAATACACCAAAATCTCCTAAAATTTTTTATTGTGAGTAATATATATCTATAATTATTATAACAGTCTTCATATTACGATGAGTCAAAAAAGGTAACTAAACATATCTAATTATACATCATAGTAACTGTGTCAAAATGCAAAACAATATTAATAAATGGTATATCAAAATCAGTGAAATAAAGAGCTGAGAATATCTCCTTCGAGAACAAATAAACATAAAAAAATCAGAAGAAATCTAAGGTTGATCCTTGGTTCTAAAACCTGAAAACTAAGATACTGAGATCTAGTCAGACTCATCACAGTTATGTCAAATGTAATGGCGACTATAGTCAGAGGCAAGGAAGGATAGAGATGGCCAACTCTACCTTATTAAATTGTACCTTACGTACAGCGCCATCCGATGTCACCGCAGAGTACTAATCATAGATTAAAACCAACTTCGACTAGGATAATGGTGTAAAACTGGGCTAACCAACGATCTGGCAACATTGTTCGCTGCGCATCGAAGCGAAGCGACCGACGTTGCCAGATTGTTGGGGCTAACTTTAACTGCCAAATTTAAAAATAACACAATTAATATTGCTTTGAAAAAAGGAAATAAATATATTTTAAATGAAAGATCTAATTTCAACATAATAATTTATTATTCACAAAACTAATAAAATTTGGTAACATAAATAGAATATAAGTACGAAGGCTTTCACGGCCGGTGTAATTAAACTAGAACTAATAGCAGCACTATCGAAGACGACTCGAAATCACTTCGAAAGATTTCTAGCTAGTGTTAGTTCTAGTGATAGTGCTACTATTAGTTCTAGTTTTAGTTCAATAAATAGAATAATGTTACATTTTGTTTACCCTAACAGTTTTTGTAACGTCTTCCTGGATGGTAATGAAAAGAAATTTGATAAGAACCGGTATCCTTTACCACTTTGTTTGTAAATGGAAAGAGCCAGCACTTCTTTTTTCTGATTTCGGGACTGGCTGCTAAAGAAATTTCTAGTTTCTTTATTCAAATATTTGAGGTTCACCAATACCTGAGGATTTTTCCTCAATTGTATTAGCTTTTGCCTTATTATTCTGGCATTTTTCTTAGCGCGACACAACGCTTTTTTTACTCCAGTTAGGTTGCAATTGCTGCAGTTCTTTGTAAAAGGTAATTTCCTCCGTTTCTTATCTACAAAAATAAAGATAATTTTAAATAAGAATGATTATTCAGTTTTTATGGTATTTACCAATTATTTCTTTTTCATCACTTAGGTGGGACCGTTTCCCATTCATTTCTAATGAAATGACAGAATTTTCCTCACAAAATGAGGTTGAAGCAACTTCGCAACCTTGTTGTTTACTACATCCAGGATAGACTTGCATAACAGTTGAACTAGTTACACCAGGAAGTTTGTCGGGGCATACATATGTGGGGGTATAAATATATATATATGGCATGTCGGGGTATAAACATATATAATATGGTATATATTGAATTATATAATTATGAATTATGAAACTAAAAATGTTGCAAAATAGTTGGGGCAAACACAATAGTTACTTAGACGCTTATCATTAATTAATTCAAATAATTTTGAATTCTGTATTCCAGAGAGCCAAGCCATTCAAATAATAGGGTCGGTCGGAAAATAATATCTAGAAATACAGAATGAAAGTAATTATGCTCTATTAATTAATAATTTTTATAATTTACCTTTTAATGTCTATCATCGCAAGATGGTACACAGCAAGGAATAATAACCGACATTTTTATCATTTAAAAAATTTTAAATGTTTTTTACACTTACAAAATTACACTCATAAATTACACTGATTAAAAAAATTAACTGATTTATCAATATCATTTATATTTGACATCACTTAATTTGACTTAGGGCCGGTTGTACCAACTCCCGATAAACTATCTAACGGTTAATTACCATGGATACAGCGGTTTTAAGCGCTCTCATTGGCTAAGTGCGCCAATTTACCTATCGGATAAATTTATCGGGAGTTGGTACAACCGGCCCTTAATTAATCAAAGATGAATACAAACAAAGAAATGAAATATAAGCCACCTTCAAGGTTGTTTAAATTTGAATTTGTGTAGAATTAGTGCAGAATTAGTCGACGGTGACATCGGATGGCGTTGACGACGGTTACAATTTTCATTCCATCTTTTAGTTAAATTTATCTTATAGATAAACCCATCTACTAGCCAATCAGAGCGCGTGAAATAGCCGTAACCATAGTAATAATCCCTTAGATAGCTTAACCAGAAGATGGTAGTAACGAGCCTTAGAAGAACAGACGTACTTTTTCGACGTGGCTATTTGAATTGTACAGCAGACATATTAAACTAATGCTATCTCTTTCTAACACACATTACTCTATAGCGGTTTGTGAATTTTAATTTACTACGTATGGCATTTGTAAGAGCGGAAAACAATGATTTACTGCCAGCTCTCGTGGCGTCTACAATACCACCTATGCACTCTAAGTGTGACCAAAGCTCACATTTTTCTTGTCATTTGATCCACTTTTCGCCAGCCCTACTTGGGCACGTGGTGATATTTTCCTTTTCTTTGCTTTCCTTTTTCCTTTTGGTTCAGTAAGATTTTTTTTTACCTGCTTCGCCTTCATCCGTTTTTCTTTTTCTTCATATTCTTGCCTGATAGCTTCCTTTTCAGGCGTACCTGTATAGATGGTCGACTTTTTGGTTCTGGAACCTCTTGTTTTTCTTTCGGGGGCCTTCGGAAAAGGTCGAACAATTTCAGGAGAAAAAACAGGTGGCATGCCTGAGGATGACACAGCTGGCTGAACATTACTTGGATTTGAAATTAAAGATTCGCCCAATAAGGAAGCTGAAAGTGGCGGTATTTCACCGTTAAGATTGTTCTCCCCAGCGTGAAGGCTTGGTCCGTTTCTTTCGAAGGATTGTGAAAAGCCTTCTTGTGTTAGATGCGGCAGTATTTCATTGTTAGCTACAGGATTGTTTCCTCCAGTGTCAGGATTGTTTTCACCAGTGTCAGGATTTAGTCTGTCAGTTACATAAGATGGTGCAAAGTCAATTTCTTGGGATGTATTACGATTATACGGATAAATACCAGTTTTGCAAAAACCAGCCTGAACGTTCGCTTGAGTGAAAGCCAGAGGCATAGCGGTTTTGATAATACCTGGTACATCGTAGATTGTCATTGTTTTTCCAGGATGACTCCGCATCCACCCATCACAAGCAGTATTTATAGCTTTTTTCAAGGGTCCGAAAACAGATCGATCCAAAGGCTGAAGTTTGTGCGAGCAGTGTGGAGGAAATGAAAGCAAAGTGATTCCATTTTCTTTGCAAAAATCCAATGTATTAAGATGGATATGCGAGGAATGGTTATCCAACACTAGCAAGACTCTATGTGTTGGAGAAGCATTAGAGAACTTCTTAAAATGTTCGAGAAATACTAGGAACGATCCATCTTGCATGCATCCTGAAGGATTTGCAGTACAAATCGATCCTATTGGTCCGTTGCGAACAAAATGATCGTGATAACGGACTCGTGGAAATACAAATAAAGGAGACATAGCATTGCCCAAGGCATTTACTGCAAAAGCAACCATCACTAGTGTGCCTCGTTCAGCTGAAGTAAGGGATCCCACTTGTTGTATGCCACGTCTAGCTACGACTTTATCGGGTTTTTGGACGGTAGTGACGCCTGTTTCGTCAACATTGTATATATCCTGTGGTTCATAGGTGTGCCTGTCCATAACAGTTTGCAAATTGTCATAAAAAGTTTCCACATTTGTTTTGTTAAACCTTGTTGCTCTTGAAAGGCTAGTAGCTTGAGTCACACGAACAGACAGTGAAGGATTTCTATTCATGAATGAACGAAACCATTCCTTATCTGCCATTTCATTCTCATCCCAAGTACCAGGCCGCTTGAGATTGTATTTGGTAGTCAGCTCAAAAGCTAAGTTACGTACCTCTTTAGGAGAAATGCCAAAATATATTTTTACGCAGCGTGTTATATATCTTGACAGCTGCTGTCCTTGCTTCTCAGAGAATACTTTATTATGAGCGACATACCCCATACGGATGCTGAATTTTCGCAGCTTTCCGTAAAGAAGTTCCGCGTTTCAGTTCTTTATAAGCGTCTTCATATTTTGTTATGTCACACTGGCCTCTTTTGGTCTTCCTCAACCATTTTCTGGGCATCTAAAAACAAAAAAAAACAAATTTTACGTGTCACAACCCAACCCAAGAAATATGTCACAACCGTACCCAACTCACTCCTTCGCAAAAAAACAATCGCCATGACAATACAAAATAATCTACGTACAAAGTAATTACTGCTATATAACTACTGATGTTTAGCTTGTAACGAGGAAAAACAGTAATTACTCTATTTGTACACATATAACAACAATTATTAAAAGAAATTGAATCAAAATACTTACTTTTGACCGTTAAAAAGTAATGAAGGCCTCTGCTAGCGTAATATGTCGCGCGATGGCTGACGCAGTACTGTGAAACACTTTCAGACATTCAAATCGCACCTCTTTCCTCTTGCACCCACCCCAGTTGTCCATATAGTTTCGCTAAAATTGCGACTGTTACAACCGTACCCAGTCTACCCTACTATAGCCATATGTATGTCGGGAATTTTCCGAACATGTCTACATAAATGTGAAGCTAGGTGTCCACTTGCGAGAAATGCTCTCGAGAGAAGCTATTGAGATTATTTTTCTGGTGGACAAGCATCTGAGAGTAACTATCAGAAAGTCCCCACCAACTTTCGGAGAGTGAACAGGTTGAGACTTGTACTCAAGTGAACACGCACAATTTATCTATCGTGAGAGTAAAGCTACGTGTCCACTTGCGAGAAATGCTCTCCAGAGAAGCTATCGAGAGTATTTTTTCTGGTGGACACGCATCTGAGAGTAACTATCAGAGTCCCCACCAACTTTCGGAGAGTGAATAGGTTGACATTTGTACTCAAGTGGACACGCACAATTTATCTATCTTGAGAGTAACTGTCAAAAAACGAACACGGTTCGAATTTTGCTAAAATAGCAATAGTATTTTAGCATCTGGAAGCAAAAATGTTACAGGGCATTGTGGTAAGGGTACAATTTGCTACAACTTTTGTTGTAAAAGTTTTTCTGTATCATGCTCCAGATACCGATTCTTTTTAACACTCTTTTAATTTTCATATTTTTGAAGAATAATCCCAAGAAGACATATTTGAATTAATTGAAGTGTATGAAGAAAATTCAGTTCTTTGGAATACTTGATTCAAAAAAATTATTGAATTATTGAACATTGAAAAGAACAAACCTGATGATTTTTTCACGAAAACCAAACGTTGCGTCGGAGAAAATTTCTAGTTGTGTCATGACATTTTTCATAAAAAGTTGCCTTAAGAATGTTTTTTCAGATTCATGAAAAAACGAAAAATAAAAGAGTTATAGGCGAAAATAGAAAGTCATTTTTTTGTTTTTCGGCCATATTTTAAAAACTAAAACGGCTAGATCCAAAAACTTTGTTGAAAAATGATGAGCTCTAAGATACGCAACTTTGCCCTCATTTAACCATCTCTTATGGTTTTTGAGATCCCAATGGTGGGAGTCGAATTTGAATTACTCTGTATAAACAATTTATAAAGCGTAAAATAAAACACTTGACGCACTATCGCAAAACACATCCGCTCTTTAGCGATGCATAAATCGAACTGATTTGAAGTTTTGATAAAATTTTTGATGTTGCTATATTCAGATCTAAAGTATCCTCTTTTTAGAGTTGCTTCAAGTTTCAGTTAAATCAGCATCAAAAAAGTTCATTTTGTATCTTGGATCCAAATAAGTTGACATATCTTATCAGCTTTCTTATTAATTTCATTTTTATCACGTCAGAAATGCACCAGAAATTATAACCATAATGGCCGGATAGATATGCCGGATAACAGGATATCCGGCCGAAGGGGATGCCAAAAATCCGATATCCGGCTTTTCGCAAAATCACTATCTGTTCCATCACTAGTACTAGGGCTTTCTGCATTAGTTGAGTTATGATTGTGTCATATTTACCTCGGATTGTGATTACCAGATCATTACCATACCCCTGAATCATGACTCCATTTAGACACCAGGCATGTTACCTACTAAGCATGTTGATAAAAGTATTGATCAATTACCTTTTCCATCTCTTTGAAGAAGTGAAGTTAGGCTAATTGGTCTGTACGCCTTGGAATCGGCGTTTGAAGGCCTACCACCTTTAGGTATGAAGACTACCTTACTACCTTTGGCAAATGATTAATAATAAAAGAGGTTATGCATTAAAATAGTTTATATTTAATGTTTTTAGACATAAACTACAAACAAATTGATACATAAAAATACGGAATGTTCTTAATTTTTTATAGAAAATAATTTAAATAATTTAGTCTTTAATGTATTAACTTAAAAGATCCATGATATCATCTTTCGATAATTTCTCAACATTTTGATTATTATTAAGCTTATTAAAACTGTTTGATGGTTTCAATAAAGGTTGACTCGAATGCATTTGATTCATCGGTAATTTTCCACTTTGTTGAGGTAAAAGGCTATCTAACGCTCCCCAATTTGGACTCCCATCATTTTTATATTTAGAAAAATTCGTATTTGTGTTTTGTCCACCAAACGGAGTTAAAGGATTAGCTTGCAATGACGTTGCAGAAGTAGTCGATGACCATTGAAACGAATTATTCATATTAAACCCAATCATCGGTTGTGGTTGTGGAATATTTTGTGGTCTATTCACCGAATTATTGAAATTAGTTAAATTCTTTTCTAATAAAGTTGCGGAAAGGTCTTTAATTTGATTTTGTTTCGACTCAAAATTACGATTTGAAATTGGTTCTAAAGGAATTTGCTTTTGGAAGCTTTTAACGGTTTCTTGTTGCTTTGATAATCGTTGTTTTTCTTCTAAACTCAAGGAATTCGATTTATTCGTCTGATTTATTTGATTTTTCTCAAAACTTTCTAATCCTAATCCTCCAAAAACTTGATCCAATTCGGTTTCGTGTTTTGGAATCGGAGAGGTTGTCGTAAAACTCGGCATCGAAGCCTCCAAAGCTTTTTGTTGTTGCTGAACGTTATTTAATTGTTCTAATTTCGTTCTATGCTCGCTTTCAACCATTTGAAACATTTGCTTAACCAAAGCAACCAAGCTATTAAATTGAGATAAAGTTAATCCATTTTCGATGCAAAGCGGGATTAAAAAAGGTAAAATCCGCGTTGCTATAACCTCTTTACTTATCCCTAATTTCTTATGATTCAACGCCAATTTATAAATTCCTAAGATCCCCATTAAAACTGCCGGTTCTCGTGATGGGATTTGAGGCAAAAATGGGACAACTTCATCAAGAACTAACCACTTATCGAGATGTTCAAGAAGCCTTCCGATACATAAAAGACAGTTGACTCTAACTGAGAGAGATGAAGTTGATAAACAAAGCTTTTTTATCCTCGGTAAGAGGCTATTTTTTACGTTTGAGTGGTCTAAAAGTCCCGCAAAAGTTGGTAAAACGGAAAGACATAATTCATGGACTTGAGGCGCGTTAGAATCCAACCCACGATAAAGCATCGGTAAAACATGTTGTTGGATATCCGTAGACGGAGTTAATTTTAATAATAATTCCATTCGTTGTAGCATTAAAAGTAAAATCTAAAAACAAAATAAGTAATTAATTACCGGTTGAGAAGTTAGCGATAGATTCCAGCAATAAATTACTCTCCTACAAATTATTATTATTATTATAATAGATTGTCATTTGTTGTATCAGAGTATCTTATACAGGTGCTCAAAAATTGAATTATCGTTTTTCCATCGATCGCAAGAAAGTCGGAAATGTTAAATGGAACGCCTCATATTTTTTAACCTACCCAACAGAGAATTTAATTCTCTACAAATCATCTATAAACATGCCTATACCTATTTAGCGAAAAAAGATAGACAAGTTAGCGCTCATCAGAGAAATGTTTGATGTTTTTGCTCCTCTCCATTACATGACGATAGATGAAAAGTTGTAGGGTTTTCGAGGACGCTACTCTTTTAGGCAATATATCCCAAATAAACCCAATAAATATGGAAACAAAATTTTTGCGTGGTAGATTCCAAATGTTATTTTACATCAAATTTGGAAGTTTATGTTGGTAAGCAGCCAGATGGTTCCTACGTCACACACTGGACTAAATTCCGATTCTAGCTGGACAAAAGTAAAAAATCAACGACAAAATATAAGGTTTTCACGCATAGGAAGTTTTTCTCAAGGCTTCAGTAAACCTAATTCTACAAAAAAATTTATTATTATAGCGAACAATAGTATGTAAGAAGTTACTTTGAAAATCGTTGAATGCAAATAGACGCTCTCGCCATATCTGTACCTTACAGCTAAAGGGACTTATTTATTACGTATTTTTACGAATTTATTGGACTTACTACATTTTGGCTTCAAAAAATTATTTCTGACTGACTGTATGGACTTACAACAAAACAATAATTTGGGACAATAATAACATGTATTAACTTATTACAACAAAGAATAAATTTTAAAATATATTAACTCATTCATCATCAGGGAAATCTGATGCTTCTTCAGTATGGGGTAAGTTTCTGAAATAATCCTGATATTCTTCAGGGACCCACTTAAGGAGAATTACAAGATTGTCGTACTTTGCTTTACTTATAGATTTTCTAAAAAATCTTAATTGGGTCAAACTTTTTGGTATATTTGACGGTTTTCGAATATTTCTATACAAATTAATGGAACAAAAATTGTCATTAAATGACGTTTTATAAAAAAGCCAAACAATGTTGGACAGTTTAAACTCTTGGCCATCATTGCTTTTCTTTCTAGATATAAATGGCGCTGTTGATAAGGAGTACAATGTACTAAAATTTTTAAAATCTAGGGCCATGGAGTACACATTAAATGGAGGCTTTTTACAATTGCGAATAAAATTTAGCCAATCGTTACAAGTAAAACTTGTACATGGTTTTGCTTTCTTCTTTGCACGTTCGATGATGCTGTGCTGGCAGTCTACTTCCATATGAGTATGACCCCGTAATAAGAATTTATGATTTATAACTTTAAGACTGGGAAATACTTGCATTGCGTATAAATACATTACGATCATCAGCATATTTCGGTTTTGTCCTGCACAGCTGTCAGTCCAAATTGTTAACACCTCAGTGTTTTGATGTTTTGGAATCTCTATAGATAGCCATTTAAAAAAACAAGAAGCCATTTCGTTACCACCCCTTCCAACTTTGACTTCATCTCACATCATGCACCACGTATTTTTGTTACAAGGATCATGAATTGTGTAATTTAGGGTCCACAATTTTCGAAGATAAAAGCTTTCCGAATTTGTCAAAAAAGGAGTAGGAAGACATTTTTGAAGATTAGCCATTACTACAAGTTGACGTTCATTACTTTCCAAAGCACATTTCTTATCTTCATTCTTCATCTTCTTCTTCATTCGTCATCTAAGTGTAAGTCTTGCTCTTTAGTAATGGCTTGTTTTTCTTCTGCGCTAAGGTCAGTTTTTAGTTTTATATTAAAATAATCAACACAAATTAAACTGTTCATTAAAGATTTTTCTAAATAGCCATTCTTTAGCTGGTTCTTCACCTTCCTTTGTTAATTCTTCACAATATAATGTATACATTTTTGAAATATTTAGTTCCTGTCCAAGATACTTTTTAGTAGACCTTTCTCGGGAATAATGGCTTTCATAAGTAGGATAAGTCTCAATGTGTTTAACAATTTTTCGACAATGTCATTAGAAATTTTATTAATAGGGACTTTTCTTCCTCTTTGATCCAGTACTGACATATTACGGGTAGATTTCTTTCGTAGAGCGTTATAAACAAATTTCTCGCTGACTGATAATGTGTTCATAAAAAACAGTTTGCAGACTCTGATCTTTTTGTTTTGAATATTAAAAGAATAAAAATTTTGTTGTGTACGGCTTTTTTTGGGGCACAACGTCTTGTGGTCTGCGTCGTTTAACTTCTTCACTAGAAACACAAGAAATGATGAACCGTCTCTTGCACTCCCAAGAAAGGATTTTTTTCCAAAAATCATTATGAATTTGTTGACGTTGGTTTTCAGGTATTAACGAACTGCACTTGTATGTGCAGGTCAAGCGACATGGCTTTTTTAATTTTTTATTTGGTACAAGTTTGTTTTTGCAAGATAAATAGAATTCACCTCGTTGCCTTTTACATTTTCGCACATTTTTCTTCCAATCCTTTTCACGTCTCATACGTTTTCTAGTTTCGTAATTGGTTTAGCAATTGCATTATTTTCTGTATCTGATTGTGTTTCAGATGAAGAATATGGCACCAATTTAGTAAATGTTTCTTCATTAGTTTCCATGATTGCACATTAAGATTAGCAATAGAACGATTGAACTATAGAAACAAATTTTTGACTTAACATAATGTCAACTTTTCATTTATTTTATAAACTCAACCTTATTGGTTGACGTTTCTCAACACTAAAAAGGGTCAAGTTGTGGGAAGGTTTTTCCTTTAATAAAAAAATTCGGGGACCTCCTGGAAACTCTGATTTTTTGTGGAGTTACGACTATTTGGCGCTAAAACGGTAAGGATTTTCTTCTTTATAACCCAAAAAATTATTTCGTAATCAATTTTTTTAGATAATGTTATAAAAAATGAAATGTTGTGTTTGACCAGATACTTATTTTAAGCATACCTCATTTTCATAAAATTTGGACTTACGTGCCTTTAGCTGTCAGGGGCAGATATATTAATGTGATCTTCCTTCATATTATCTGTTCGGCCACATGTTTACCTTTTAGGAAAAAGTTTCAAGCACTGAAAATGTCAGATTGAAGAAGGTAAGTTCCTACCATTCAAATATAAGAGAGAGAAAAAGGGCCATAATGAACCATAAATTGAGATAATATAAAAAAATTCTTCAATTAAAACTGATACCATTTTTTCATTTCCTGTTGATTTTTTTTTATAAAACTTATACAAGTGTCAGATAAAAAACGCCCCAAGCTATAACTCTGTCATTTACATTCCAATTTTCATAAGCCAGGTATCCACAAATGAAATCGTTTAATGAATAGTATGTTTCATGCTACAAATAAATTCTTAACGCGAAGAAAAATATACCGAGCAATTTGAAAAACAAAAGTTGACAATCGCTTGAAATTGTAGATGGCGTTGAAAATACTTATTTGTAGCACGAAACGTAGTATTCATCAAACCATTTCAGTTGATACCTGGCTCATGAAAAACGGAATGTAAATGACAGAGTTACAGCTTGGGGCGTTTTTGTATGACACCCTGTATGTGGTATTGGTGGGATCTTTTGGGGTGCTGATTGCAAATTTGTCAGTATTATAAACTTTTCAAAAATCAAGATGGCCGATACAATATAGAGAACTAAAATTGCAAGAAAAAGGATAATACAGGAAGCCTTCCAATGCACACTGTAAAAGTTGACAAAGTAGAAAGAATGGGAAATCCGAATACCGGAGATACTAGACACCAAAATATGATGATTTAACGTAACATTTCTTATACAAATGTCAGTGGTTTTCGAGGCATAGGGCGTTGAAAGTTAAATTCTTATTTCGAAATTTCTTGATAATTTTGAAGGTTTTTGTACTATTAACATAAAATTTGGTAGTTTTACGTTTTCGAGAATGAGAAATACGAATTTGAAACTTGTTTTGTTATTGCTCGTAGAGGGCGCTAGATACACGCTGCTCGTTTGATAAATCAAATCATAAGTTTTTTGGTTCGACAGCTACGACCAATAAGAGCTGCAAATCACAAAAAGCATTCAATTTTACATAAAAAAGGTACTCTTATTCAAATTGTCTAAGTCTATCGGTTTTCGAATTATTTACTTTTAAATGTTTAAATGTATTTTTTCTTCTAAAATATTTATTTTTTAACATAAGCAAACTTGGGTTATTTTTCCGCTTATGTTTCGACAATTGCCTGTTAATTGTCAACATTGATCTAATTTCCGTGTGCAATAATCATTTTTACCAACAATAAAGTTATTACCAATTTCAAAATGCCACGATATAATGAGTTTTTTAATAGTGAGAAATCCAGATTTAAGTCCACTGGATTTTTGAAAATGATCACAATATTCCATTGTTATTAATTAATTGTTATTGTTATCGATTATTATCGTTACTAATTGCTATAGTTACTGTGTGTTATTGATTTTAAATGTTAATGTTAAAATTACTTTGAAACAATTAAAAGCAGATAACTTGGAAACCAGTAGGCTTAGACAATGTAAGCAAGAGTGCNGTACTGAAGAGAGTAGAAGTAGTAAAGTACTAATTGTGAGTAAAACAAGGCGATATACTGTTGAACCCAAATTGTTCATCACAGTCCTCAGAGTGCATTTAAACAACTGGATTGGACCCAAAAAGGCATAAACATTGATTGCAAATGCTTAAGTAATTTGCGCTACGCGGACGATATAGTTCTTATATCGGATAGCCTTGGAGAGATTAAACTAATGCTGAACGACTTAAAGGAAGTGTGTGCAAGAGTCGGGCTAAATATCAACGAGGAGAAATCAAAATTTCTGATAAATCTTGTTCCCACCTCTAACATCAACATTGGGGATAATGAGATTGAGAGGGTTGACAGCTATGTATATCTTGGCTATGTGGTTCGTGTATCGAGAGATAATCAAATAAGCGAACTAAACAGAAGGATCACACTCGTATGGGCACCCTACGGGAAACCTGTTGTGCGTGTTTCCGGTTATGACATAAGGCTCCGAAACTTTAACATTAACGGTAGCCACTGCCAGGAGGGATCAAGTAACGCAAAGATAGATGGAGAGGTTGATCCTGGGTCTAACTCTGAGGGACTACATACGAAATGAAGACCTATAAAGAAAAGCTGGCATAAATGATGTAGTGAACATTGTGGCAAAGCTGAAGTGGAACTAGGCCGGTCAAGTCGCGCGAATGAAGAGTGAGCAGTGGATAAAACGGTTGCTTGAGTAGAGACCGCGAGCGAACAGACGAAGTAGACGTCAAAAGAATGACCAACAATTCGATTCAGACAGCACAGAAAGAATCGAATGAAACATAATAGGGGAGGTCTATGTCCAACAATGGACGCAGAGGGCTGCTTGATGATAATAATCATAATAACTGGATTTAATCTAAATTACGGCCGATTCGTCTAATGATAATACGTTTTTGATTGTTGACAATTCCTCGTCTTCAACGTCCTCATGATCTTCCTCTTCATTTTATTTTGAATCTGATATATTTTTAATGGTATCACTTTTATACCCACTGTTTGGGTTTATTTTAGAAGTACCTACCCGCCGGGTATTTACCCAGCGCCCATCACTGATTATAATTAACCAGAAATCTTTGGGCGCCGGCGGTCATGTGGCGTTTAACGTGTTAAGGGAACCTTAAACAAATATCAATATAACGGCGTTTAACCTGACTGTCCTGACTTTGTCGGAATCGTACAAGGTAAAATTTTAGTAACGTTCCCTGCATTTTAGACGTATTTCCAGTGGGGTGTTCAAAGTGGCACCACTCGAGGTGTAAACTTGATCAGCAAGCTTTTATTTTTTTACTGCGCGCATTATAAAAAAATTATTTCTCTTTAGCATAAAATCGTCTCTGCATGCCATCACCAATCGTTTGGTATTTTTTAACTTTAAAGTTATTAACAATCAAATCTAATATATGCGAAATACAGATTAAATTAATCAAAGTCACCCCATTTTACGGTAATTAAATAAATTTCCATTGTCAAAGTGCTAAATTATCTTTAATTACATTCTTAAAAGTGTAAGAATTTATTTAGTCAAAAAAAATATAGATTTTTTGAAAATTTCAAGGTGATGTAACCTCTTAAGTTAGTAAGAAGAAATCGACAACAGTTATATAAGCTTAAAAGCTCCATGTTATTTACTGAATAATATTCAATATGTGCATACTAAACCTGACGTCATAGCTGTGATGACGTTTCGCGTGTATATAATTTTTTGATTTGCGTTAAATAGCGTTAAATATTACCTGAATTGGCTCAATTAAAGCCATAACTGGTTTTAATCCTGGTAAAATACACTGAACATATTCTTTTTGAGTGCAATCTTGAGCAATATCAAAAATACTTGGTAAAACAAACGGAACCATCGCCGGTTGTGTTAAATCCCGTATTAAACACGGTAAAACTCTCTGTACTTGAACTCGATGTGGTAATTTCTTCAAAGCTTCCGGTAATCCTTTAAAAAATTGCGATCGCTGCAAATTATCCCATTGCAATAACGAATCAAGATAATTTAAAGTTTTCACTCCAACATCCTCAAAATATGGCACTTTAATAAATTGATGAGCATCCGGTCGCAAATCAGGCGTAACATTCATCATTAATTTAGCGTATTCACGCAGATCTTCAGGAATATTTTGAAGTTTACTCATCGATAAGTTATGTAACATTTGTAATCTTGATTTAAATTGTTGTAATGACTTAACACATTGAAAAGAATCTTCTGATCTTGAATGTAGCGTATAAATCAACATTCCCAATGAAAAAATATCACTTGATGTTGAATGTGATTGTGCCGAAATGATTTCTGGAGCTGTATAACTTAAACAAGGTTGAGCTATGCTAGGTAATGTAGGGCTGTATTCAATGAAGGGATAAAAAGGTGGTGAATTTGGTAAGCTTGTATTCATCACACAAAAATCGAATCCAAAAATTTTCCATGCTCCTTGTTGATTTATTATTATGGTTTCTGGGCAAATGTTTTTATGTAATAATTTAACGTCGTTATGTAAGAAAGCTAAACCTTCCCCTATTTGTAATAAACCATATTTTATTTCGATATCATAAAGCTTATAATCATTCAAATTTGTTGGTTGTGGCATGTTTAAAGTTTGTCCCAATATATTTGCTAAACTTGCAAAAACGGGTTCGGTTGCAAATGCTAAACTTTCTCTGCTTTCTTCTAAAGGGTGTTGTACTATTAAAATTTGTGGGTGTCTTATTTTCGTTAATTGAGTTATCCCACGTTTTAGTGATTCCAAAATTATATCCCGATCGGTTTTATTGTACTTCTCCAATTGCCTTTTTTCAAAAACAAAAATTGAAGCTTCTTGTTTCGTCGATCTTTTAGTACCCTTATAAATTTTCCATAAAAGCCCTGGACCTCCGGATGCTATGTGACTTGTCGCGTCGAATTCACGCGTTACCGGATTTCCGGGGAGTACACTCGATAATTGCGACACCGTGCTGCTTACCGAGCTACTTACATGCGAATAAATTTTGTTAAAAACTTCCATTTTCGTCGAAAATTAATTTTTGTTATGCTTGATGAGTCATACAAATAAAATTGAAATAAAAATAAATTGATATGATTAAAATTATTTTGGGTTATTATTTTTTTGTATTATTTACGCGATATTTTAATAAAACATTTGTAGAAACGCGCACTTTAAACATTAATTTGATGGACTTGTATTTTTATTTTTGACACTTCATTAAGTCAACTGCGTCAACTGTCAAATTGACATATTTCCAACGTGAAGTTGGCTTAATTTAACCTCAAAAAAAAAAATAATGAAAATAAAGTTAATTAATGTTTTTTATCAAAACTTTAAAAAAAAACTTCTATATTTAAGCTAATTATACTTTAATACTTATTTATGTTTTAAATTACATTTTTGAGGTTAAGGTTCAAGTGGAGAAAGTTTTTTTTTGGACCATGTGATGCAAGCAGAATACATTATGTAGTATATTGCGTATTCTTTCACGAAACGATCAACAACGTTTCTTTTTTGAAAATTAAAATTTAAAACACATCGATTTTAAGTGCAATATGGCCAGTTTTAGTGCTAAAAAAGTTTTAAGATACGGCATAGTAGGTGGCCTAATTGGAGGCACGGCTTTAAGTTTACACAAAAACCAATATCAACTCGATTCCATTGGAATAGTACGATTAGGAAGAGCTGCTATTGCTGTATTTCAAATCGGAAAGATTTACAAAAAAGAACTCTATTTTAAGGAATGGGATAAAACTAGTGTGGAGTTTAAAGAAAAACAGTCTTTTTGCCATCAACAGGGTGCTAATAGGTTGCTTAAACTATGTTGTGAAAATAAGGGTGTGTATATCAAAGTAGGGCAACATATCGCGGCTTTAGAATATTTATTACCAAAAGAATATGTTCAAACGATGAAAGTTTTACACAGTCACGCCCCACAAAGTGAACTTAAGGATATTTATCGAGTTTTAAAAGAAGATTTAAAAAAGGAAGTAAGTAAAAACGAAGTTTTTAAAAATTAAATGTATTTTTATCAAAATTATAATTTATTACATTTTAAAGCGCCATCTCTTTTTGAATAGATTAACTTAAATTACAGGAAAATAAATTAATTTTAATAATAATTGAAGAGCTTCTTACAAAAAGTCCCCAAGTGTCTTTTACACATTTTAAGAATTTTCGGTTTTTTGTTTTCAATTTATTCTGGAAATATTATTGTTAATATTATCTGTTTAATCTTTTAAGGATGTTATCTTGGGAGGTTGTAATTACTTTTTTAAATTTTTACAGAAAAAAATCCATTTCTCTATAAGAAAAAAAAAGGTAACGATCTTAACTTAGGGACTTTTTAACAAAATTAATCAAAATGTATATTAGAGGATTTGTTTATTAAATTTAGCTTATTCTAGAACAATAAAGCTAAATTTATTCGTACTCTTGTATGTACATCCGACTCTGTCTCTCCGTCTTAGGGATGCAAACTGGTGGTGAAACGGATATCCGGCAACTGTCGGTATTCGGCCTATCCGGCCATTTTTTAAAATCCCGGCCGGATAGTTACTAAATATCCGGCTTTGGCTTTTAGGTGTTGGACATTGCAGATAATAATCAAGTTCAACCCCAATAGGACTTTTTTCATTGAATACAACTTTATTTATATCATGTTTATCTTTAGCAACCTCATTGTAACAATCCCAATACGATATATAAAATCTCTTGTTGCAGTTTCGTCTAGTTTCCTTCTCTTCGCTTGCAATTCATTATCATATTCATTACTAACAAAACTGTTGCTATATATTATCAATTTCGACTATTAATTAAAGTATCCCCTTTTTAATACAACAAGCCGTTTTGAAAAATCGCTTTTAGTTTTTGAGAAATAAATTTTTGAAATGATCGACAATTTTTTTGAATTGTGCAATTTTCGCTGATTAAGTTTTAAAAATTCGTATAAAGTCCATTTACTGTAATATAAGTATGAAAATTTCCCAAAATGTTAATAAGAGTATCTTCTTTCCAATGAACCAGTTCGTTTTGAAAAATAGCTTTTAGTTTTTTAGACAACAATATTTGAAGTTTTGATAAAATTTTCGATTTTGCAATTTTCATCGATAATTTTCAAAGTTCGCTATAAAATTGATTTCTTGAAGGATTCTTGTGGAAATATCATCAATTATTAATTCAAGTATCCTCTTTTTAATGCAAGAAGCCGTTTTGAAAAATCACTTTTAGTTCTTGAGAAATAAATTTTTGCAATGATCGACAATTTTTTCGAATTTTGCAATTTTCGCCGATTTAGTTTTAAAAATTCGTATGAAATTTATTTCTTGGAATATGAGTATGAAAATTTCTCAAAGTGTTAATAAAAGTGTCCTCTTTCCAATGAACCAACCCATTTTGAAAAATAACTTTTAATTTTTGAGAAAACAATATTTGAAGTTTTGATAAAATTTTCGATGTTACAATTTTCATAAATAATTTTCAAAATTCGCTATAAAATTAATTTCTTGAAGGATTCTTGTGGAAATATCACCAATTATTTGATTCCAAAATTATATCCCGATC